GTTGGACCACTGCTTTATGCAATATAAAAATTAGCATAAAATTAATGCAAGACTAAACATACCAAGTAAACAGTACTTATACCATTAGATTTCCTGAGGACTTCTTAGACACAACATCAAAAAAAAAAGGAACAACAGAAAAAAATGAAGTGTAACTTACCAAATTTTTTAAATTGTGCATCAAGAATACTATCAGTAACTGCAAACAGAGCCCAGAGAATGGGAGAAAATATTTGTTAATCATATATCTAATGAAGGTTCAATACTCAGAATATATGAAGCTCTTACAACACAACAAAAGTGACCCAAATTGAAAATGGAGAAAGTAGTTGAGCTGACATCTCTCTAAAGAGGATATACTCATTCGTGACTAATGAACACATGAAGAGAAGCTCAACCTCATTATTCGTTAGGAAATACAAATCAGGACCACAGTGAGATGGTGCTCCACATTTATTAGAATGACTAACATGAAGCAAACCCATAATCCAGACAGAAAACACAAATGTCAAGGATACAGGGAATTGACAGTGTTGTTCATTGCTGTTGAGAATGAAAAAATGAGCAACTATTGTGGGAATCAGTGTGGTTGGGGCCTGCGCTGTGGTGCCACTGAGTAAGCCCTTGCTTGTGACACCAGTATCCCAGCTGCTTCACTTCCAATTCAGCTCCTGGCTGATCTGCATCCTGCAAAGCAGCAGGTGATGGTTCAAGCACTTGATTTCCTGCCACTCATGTGGGGGGCCTAGATGGAGCTCTGTGATCTTGGCTCAGATTGCCAGTTTGAACCCTGGCTGCTCTGTCTTTGATCCAGCTTTCTGCTAAAGTGCCTGGAAGGCAGTGTGTGATGGCTTCAGTGCTTTGGTCTCTGCACCCATGTGGGAAACCTGGATGGAGTTCTGGGCTCCTGGTTTCAGCCTGGCCTAGCTCTACGTGTTGTGGTCATTTGGAGAGTGAACCAGCAGATGGAAGAGTTCTTTCTCTTTCCTTCTCTCTGTTACTCTGCCTTTCAAAAAATTATGTGTTTTTTTTTTCTTTTAAAAAAAGAAAGCAAGAAAGCAAAGGGCTTCACATTAAAAACAATAGAAAATCTTTCATTGGCATCACCTTCCTTTCTATGCAGGGACAAACATGGTCCCAAGTTGCCATATCTGCTCTCAAATGCACACAAATCTCAGCTTAAACTGGTCAGCCCCCTGGATTAGGGAACTCCACTATTGTAGCACAGGGAGTTCAAGTTACTTGCTTTCTACCCTCCCTCTCTATGGAACCATTGAGTCTGGCCCTGATTCATACTTGTGAGCTATTTCCCAACAATCAGTGCAGGGGTAAACAAGAGGAGCAGGAGGAATCCCTCCGGGGGATATTTGCTCAACACTTGCTCCTGGAGGAGTAGCTAAGGAAGGTTAGTAGGGGCTTGCATGGGAGGACAGAGGGATACAGGACCTCAGTTCTGAATTCCAAATCCAGATCTAAGTGAAGGGTCCCTGAAGTGTACAGAGTGAGAGTTGGGGAGGCAGGAGAGAGCCTTTGGTAACATCACAGATGACAGGTGTGGTTCTGCCCATTGGCTGAGGATCTGCCCTCTCTGAACCTCCCACCAGAGGCCCGTTTGGACTGAGAGAAGGTCTCTGGCCTCCAAGGTCTAGGGGACTCAATCATAGATAGGGTTAGCTTGAGCAGATCTTGTGGGGTGTCCAAAACAGGAGGACATGAGGGGAGGATGGGGTGGGTCAGCCCTACCTGGGTCTCTAACCAGCAGGACTGGAGCTTGTCCCAGTCTCTGCTTCTGCCCTCCCCCCACAACCATGACATGAAGATGAGGGCCTTCCAGAGGCTGCCAAACAATGAATTAAAGAGGTGACTTATTCTAAATGTGTCTGCCATCAGAAAGCCCCAAGCCTGTGAACGTCACAGGGAAATCTTACTTTGAACAATGAGAGTAGAGTACAGGCTTCCTGGATCTGAGACCCCTTTCCCAGAGACCACGCGTCACGCACGTAATTGTCCCCTTGGGAAAAGAGAAAGGAGACCCTGACCTGCATCTGGCGCAGGTGGATCATGTTGGGGTCACGCAATCCTGCCTGTGAACATCTGCACCAAATACTAGCTGATTTAATCAGAATGAAGCCAGGATTTAAAAGAATTTAAAAATCATCCCTAAATAGTGTAAGAATGATTTAGTTTCTTTGGCTGAAATATTTTCAAAATTAGAGAACATAAAATAAAGCATGAAACTTCAACACATATTCAAAAATGATCACTAGCTGGGGCCGGCACCGTGGTGCAGTAGGTTAATCATCCGCCTGCAGCGTCAGTATCCCATATGGATGCCGTTTCTAGTCCTGGTTGCTCCTCTTCCAATCTAGCTCTCTGCTGTGGCCTGGGAAAGCAGTAGAAGGTAGCCCAAGTCCTTGGGCCTCTGTAACCCTGTGGGAGACCAGGAAGAAGCTCTTGGCTCCAGGCTTTGGATGGGCGCAGCTCTGGCAGTTGCGGCGATTTAAGGAGTAAACCAGTGGAAGGAAGACCTTCCTTCTCACTGTAACTCTACCTCTCAGATAAATAAATGAAATCTTTAAAAAAGATGATCATTAGCAATCTTGTACAACCCATTTCAAAGTCTGCTTGCTGGGTGGATGTGAGCTGGATTCTTTAATGCAAATCTAGAGTAAAATCATTGCTCTCAGAAATTATTTACATCTCAAATATTTAGAATAGCAGAAATCTACTTCTCATGAAGAAGATATAACTAAAGTAAAATGTCAGTAGAAAAGGGCTATTGGAACCAAAATTCATAACATACTTTAACCTAAAAAGACAATGTCTTTAAGGACAGATAAACTGACCAGCAGGCCTGCATTTTTACTTCTTTTTGACACCGTGCTATGCATGTTGCTGGTGCCTTGAGATGGGAACAATCGCTGACGTGTGTCTTCTAAAAATAAAGTAATAATCTTTTAGCAATACCAACCTTTCTGTTTTTGATGAATGATGATTGTCTACACTGCCAATGTAAGCAAAACAGTATAAAAAGTCTTAGAAATAACAGCTGCTTCCAACAAATTAACTGGGTCCAAGATTCTTCTATCAAAATAAGTAGTACATATGTATAATTTTAATAAATTAAAATGTAATTAGAAGAATTATTGATAACACACACCCCAATAATAAATAAATAGTTCCATTTACTAAATCAGGAAAATATAGATAGGTAGGTAGGTAGGTAGGTAGGTAGATAGATAGATAGATAATAGAGAGATAGTTGCAATGATATGATTTTGAACAAATGGATATTAATACATACTCATTGTTGGAGAAAATCACAAAAGCATTAATTAATGTGAAATTCAAACAATTCCAGCCAAAACCCCAACACATTTTATCTTAGAGGATAAGGAGAGAATTGAAGAATGAACAAGTCTGCAAAGCCAGCATTAGCATATGCAAAGTGTTGAATAGTTAAAAGGGTAGAAGGGAAACCCCACCCTTACAGCAAGGGCTATGAGAGTAACAAGGAGCCCAGAGAACAAATTAGAATAAACAGACTGTCACACACAATCAACACAGAACCAGTGTTTCCCCACTCTCATGGAGAGAAACAAATTTAATTATACACCCGAATTTTATCAAGAGCTAAGTATACAACTGAAAACATGTAAACACCCATTTGAACATTTAGGGTAAAAGTATGCTTTTAGGGTACAGGGAAACATTTGAAAATTTTAAAATGTAAATCATGATGGAAAATTCTAAAACTCTACCATGCTGGTACAGGATTTTGACAGTTGGGGAAGCTATGGCTGTGTCCATTTTTAACATTGGCAGTCAAAATTATATGTATTTATTGCATCAGTTGATTTTTGCAATATACACCTTCTGTCCCATTTTGCAGTGAAACTGTGTGACATTGTGAAATACTATCTATATTTGGTTTTCATATCCAGTTTCCTTGGCTTACAGCTCCTAAACTCCTTGGATTCTTTCAAGTGATACCCTTTCACGTGCTAATAGGCTGACTAAAGGCTGCCCATTCCTGGAAGCTTGAGGATGGGCTCTGCTCACTTGAAAGACAAGACAGAAAAAGTAGGACCCTCAGCCCCACCCCCTCAACCACCAGGGAGCCAACAGGGGCTGGAGAGGAATTTGATCACCAGTGGGCAATGATTTAACCCATCATACCTTCGGGAAAATCCCAAAGTGGGAGGGTCACAGTGCCTCTGGACGGCTGAACACTTGCAGGTTCACAGAGCAGGTGTGGCAGTCCTGTGCCCTTACCCAGGGAAAGACTGGTATGGAAGTCCCACTTTCTCCTTCCTGGTTCACTCTGCCTTTATAAAGCCCTTGTGTTCCTGTGTATTATTCTCACTTTCTAAATAAACCTTATCAAACTGTATGTACGTGGTGTTTAAGCCTGTGTTTAGAATTCTTCTCTAAGTAAAAGGCAAGAACCGGAAATAGGAGTTTGAGGCTAACCTAGCCCACAACACTTGGGGGTGGGTGGGTGAGACTCTGCACACCTGGTGTTAGAAGCAGTGAAGTGGGTGAGAGTATACTAGGAGCCCTGAGTTTGAGATTTTTTCTTACATAACCAAAAACTGCTCAAAAAAAAAAAAAAAAAAGAATGAATGAATGAGTGAATGAAGGGGCTGTGAACTAAGGGGAAGCCACCATGGAAAGCAACACTGAAAGGGCACTTTCAGAGCCAGCAGGCCATGCAGGAAGCAGGCTTTCTGCAGCCTCCAGCTCCTGCCCAGGAATGTGAACTTTTGAACTGGGCTGAGACTGCAAAAGCCATAAACATCCTCTAATAAATGTTACAGCTGCACTGGTCACAAGTGAACTTTTCACCTAGAGATAGTGCAGGAATTAATCACGTGTAGCCGAGTATTGTAGAGCCTGGTGTTAGGATACCTTGTCTGCACCAATCACCTTCCTAGGCAAACAACTTGTTAAGCTGTCTGGAATTTCTTTTGTCTTCCATTTCTCCTTGCTTGGAAAACCCTGCAGGAGGGAAGCGTCTTTGGAACACTTTCAGAGCTATCTGAGTCTGTGTCTACAGAATGGCGATTCCAAGACCACAAATGAAGTTCTTTTATATTTTCAGAGCTTGAATAGATAAACAAGGCATAACCCATTTTCCTTAATTGTGCCATGTGGTTTACTTAATTTGTAGGAAAATATTTTGTTAAATGAGGATCTTGATTAGATTTAAATTGACTGCCATCCGAGTAAATCAGGGTGCATCTTCTGAATTGTATGATTAAAGAGGTTATCAATTGCATATAAAGAGAGATATTCACCAAGGCAGCAGTTTTCCCAGCCAGAGAAAGAAGACCTGGACTCCCTTGCGTGGGGACCCCATCTGCAAAAAAGGCTCTGTCGTTGGCTTTCCTACCCACTCAGGCTTTGGTAAGTACTGGAGTTCTTAACAGAGAGGGGCAGATTTTAAATTCTGTGATGGAATTCACAGTTATAAAGTGATTGATAAATCTGACTGCAGGTATTTGGAGACAAGCCATCTGTGACAGGTTAGGCCTTTGGAAGATAGAATTTCTGCGTATTTAGACTTCAGATGTAATGGTCAGAAAGGAGTTTGCCTCTTAGCATTCATTCATAGGCTGAGTTTTTGTTGTTGTCATTTTAATCATTGGGGTCCAGAGAATGAATCAACTGGGAAGAAAGTGCATCTGTATGGTTTATGGTAGAAATGAAGATTGATAATAATGTTCCCTGAGGATATAATAGCAAGGTGCTTGTTGGACGTTCAGTGCAGCTGTCAGCTAAGAATGGAGACTAGAGGAATGGTTTTTATGTTTGGGGGTGAGGGGGCGTAGTGAGATGTATTTCGTTTGATGTGTGTAAGTTTGACAGCAAAGGTGCTCAGAAATGAGATTCAGATGAGAGTCTGGTCACTTTAACTTTAGCGATAGTATAACCTTAACAAAAGCATGTTCCTCTTCCTCCTTTTCACATTTTAACTAGCAAAAGCTGGCTACCAGTCTCCGGACTTAGATGCCTCAGAATTTCAGGACCCATTGTCTTCTATTATTGCTTCTCTCCCAACCCTCCCCGCAATTACCCTTTCTCCTGCTACTTGCAAACTGGGTGAGGGCCACTCTAACAAACACTCTGCCTGCCTGCCCAGCATCAACTCCCCCATCTGGGGTGTTGATGGTCCAGGCCTAATTCTGGCACAATTGAATAAATGTGAGCCAACCAGGTCATTGCAAAAAGAGGAGAACAGGGACTGGTACTGAGAGTTGATGCATTCCAGTAATAGTGAGAAATTCCTTTCAGAGGGCATCTGGACAAGGCCATTGGAGAGGAGACAGGAGACTCACAGATTCCAATGTCAGATAATTAGCTTCCCTGAGGAGATCTTGGCTTAGTTTTTGTTTCCAAGTAAGAATTTATTTACATTTTTTTAATGGAGAGGTAAGTGGAGATGGTAACAATTTATTTATTTAAAAATTAATTTGTTTGCAAGTGAAGATGGAAGAACAAGAACTTGGGAGCAAATACATTTAGAGGAGATTTTGTCTCAAAAGACAATAGGCGTTTAAATGACAAGAAATTTAAATGACAAGGTGACTTTTTTTTGTGGAAGAGATGGAAAGATTTCTCTTAAATGACGTGCATTTTATAAACAGGAATATAGTTCCTGACAAAACAGGCGAAAAAGAGACTCAAAGGCGACAAGGTGGCACCAGGCATAGCATGTCTCCTTCATTTAGTAGGAGAGGAGTAGCCGATGGCTATGAGTGCGTGCATATTTGTTGTGGTGGTGACACAGTAGGGCACTTTGTCACATTATGCAGTTCGTAAGTGTTATGGGCTGAATTGTGTGCCCTCAAAGTTCTTACGGTGAAGTCGTAGCCCCTAGAGCCTCAGTATGCTATTAGAGTATCTTTATTTATTTTCTGTAAAGACTTATTTATTTTACATGAAAGGCAGTTACAGAGATAGACAGAGAAGGGGAGCTAGAGAGAGATTGTCCATCAACTCTTCAAATGGCCACAACAGCCAGAACTGGGTCAGACGGAAGCCAGGAGCCATGAGCTCCATCCGGGTCTCCCACGTGGGTGGCAGGGCCCCAAGCACCTCAGTTCACTCTGTTGCTTTTCCAGGCACATTAGCTGGGTTGGAAGTGGAGTTGGGGGCAGGGTAAGCGAGGGAGAGGAAGTGGGCTGGAACTGGCATCCATATGGGATGGGAGCATCACAGGAGGTTTACCCCACTCTGCCACAATGCTGACCCCAAGAGAGTGTCTTTAAACAGACAGAGACAGCTGGGCGGATCCTAATCCAACATGACTGGGGTCCTTACAAGAACAGGAAATTAGGGCTTGTTGAGAGGGAAGGCTGTGCTGATTCACAGAGACGTCTGCTGTCCACAAGGCAGAGGGAAGAGGCCTCAGAAGAACCAACATGCTTCTCCTTGGTCTCAGAACGGCAACCTCTAGGACCGAGAGAGCCCAGAGAAGGTGTCTTGCTTTTCTTTTCTTTTTTCAAGCCACTCAGTCTATGGCAGAAGTAGCAAACTAATCTGATCTATTTAGTAGGAGGTAATCTCATCTTTTGAAAGTGAGGCTAGAGGTCGGCACTGTGGCTCACTAGGCTAATCCTCTGCCTGTGGCACTGGCACACCGGGTTCTAGTCCTGGTTGGGGTGCAGTGCGCTGGCTGCAGCGGCCACTGGGGAGTGAACCAGTGGAAAAGGAAGACCTTTTGAAATCAGACAAGACCCCCTAAAATCTACACTAAAATGTGGCCCCTTAAAGTTCCATAGAAATGTTATCCGGGGTGCCACATGCGCTACCGGAATTTGGGGTGCCTTACAATTTCACCACGGGCTTATTACTAAATCCCCAATGTTAATAAGCCCGAGAGGGTTCTTGCCTAATATTTAGAGAAGAATTCTAAATACCGGCACAAATAAATGAGGCAGCATGGTACATTTTAAGCTTTTATTTAGTGGGAAAGATGCATAGGAGAGTGAGAGCTTTATTTAGGGGAGAGAGAAGTGAATGGGGGTTCATACCAAGCACCAGGAACCAGCCACATGGAAGAGCATCTCGTCCAGGAAGCCTAGAGCACATGGCCCGAAGGCCATGCGCCCTGGAGGCGTGGGGCTACAGCAAGCCCCTTCCTAGCAAGAGGCCAGGGAAAAGGAGCTGTGGCCTGGCTTTTAACCCACTTCCAAAGGGGAGTGGTTAATTAACCTGATTGGTTGGTGAGCACCCAGGTGTGGCCAGGTAGGGGGATGAGGCCACACAGGGGCGTGGCAAGGGCATCAGGTAGGGGCATGAGGTCACACAGGGGCATGGTCTTCCAGTACACAAATCTGATCAATTTTAACCTGTATGCCTGCCTACTTCACTTTCTCTCTGTCTCTCTCACTGTCCACTCTGCCTGTCAAAAGAAAATAAAAAAGAAAGTGAAGCTAGGGCCATTGCTGTGGCTTAGCAGGTAAAGCTACCCCTGCAGTGCCAGCATCCTTTATGGGCACAGCTTTGAGTCCTGGCTGTTCCAGTTCTGATCCCCTGGGAAAGCAATGGAAGATAGCCCAAGTCCTTGGGCACCTGCACCCACAAAGGAGACCCAGAAGAAACTCCTGGCTCTTGGGTTTGGACCGGCCCAGATCTGACCGTTGCAGCCATTTGGGAAGTGAACCAGCGGATGGACGATCTCTCTGTCCTCTGTCTTTCTGTCTCTCTGTAACTCTAATAATAATAAAAAGTGAGGATAAAGGGGAGGATGTGTAGGAGGAACTGAAGACAGAAGATTTTAAATACGGGTGCTGAGAATGATTGATTTAGGAAAGCATATTTGTAAGTCACAGGAGTGCACTTCTGTATGTAAGATCAATGTCTCAGTCACATGCTGTCAGATACAGTAGCGCAAAGAGGCACTCAAGGATTTATAGTATATGTGCATCTGTACAATATCTACATTTGAAGTGAATGTGGCAAAATGTTAAAAAATGTAAAATAATAAGTAAAATGAAAGGACTTCTGAATAACTACAGCAGGAGTGGTCAGTCTTTTTACTGCCAAGACCATTTGCATATTTATTTACTCATTTTAAATATTTATTTATTTATTTGAAAGGCACAGAGAGAGCACGGGAGCTGAGCTAGCCCCTTCCCCGTTGCCAGGCTTCTAAGGAGCTTAGGAAGGGGAGTGGTTACATGGTACCGCCCCTGGCCCCAGGTAAGGTACATCCTGGGGAAGGGGTCATTTGATTGATAGGTGGATGGATAGGATTACATAGGGTGAGGGAGGTGTGGCTTCCAGTTCATGGCCCTAATCGTGCTCCTTGCCTTTATCCCATATCAGTTTTACTTGCTACACCACATTGCTGGCCCCATTTGGGTACATACAACATCATTTGTGGGCCTTACAAAATTATCAACTTAAAATTAACCTACCATAGATTTAGTGAATTTTGAGTCACTCCTGCAGTTGCCTTGACAGGGCTGGGCCAAACAATCTGTGAGTCTCCCAGGGTCAGATGTTCCCCACCCCTGGAATAAAAGAATTAACCGATCTCCCTTATTTCCCCTCAAAAAGGCCTTTACTCTTTTCTCTCCAGGTGTGTGGGGGTGGGGGTGTGGAGTTTTATACAGTGGTTTTGTGGTTATCCGAAAAATCCAATCAAATTGAACGAGTTGTGTCCCAGAGAAAGAAACCCAGATCAGGTTTAGTATCTGGGCAATCAGGGTGTGTCCCCTGGAATGTGGCTGTGGTTGGGTCTCCCTGCTGCCCTTTCCCTACTTAAAGAGAAACAGAATATGCATTTGCCCTGAGGAGGGGAAAGTGGACTTAGGCCGAAGAGCTGCCTCACAGCCGGCTGGGGAAACCGTGGCAGAGTCTAGCTGGCATCACCTTCTCCTCTGCCTTTCGTTTTTTTGGTGAGTTCTCCAAATAAGAAGATGTGAGCCTTGTTCCCTTACAGTAAGTCTGGTTTATTGTAAGACATTTGTCAGTAAAGCAGCATTGGATGATCTTTAAATTTTGTTGTGTCAACATCGACTTTGCCATTCTCATGTCCCATTTTGCTGCATTTGTATAACCTGTCCTTTTGTTTTAATATATCTCATTATTTTAACTATCTCTTCTAAGACGCTAAACTTATTCTGACCCAAACAGTAACTCCTAGTTATGTGGGGCTATTAAGTTCATACTAATTTAACTAGTGTGGTGTTAGCTAGATTTCACGTGTCTGCTTGCTGCTGTATTGTGCAATGTAGGTATACAGCATCTCTTTCAGCATAGAACATTCTCTCGGGCATGTGAATCCACATCTTACATTTTCATTCTACTTTTTGGCATGCAAATAATTTATTTTCTGCTTTCCTATATTTCCTTTTATGAAATTTAAAATTTTTTATCAAGCTTGTTTTCTATTTTTTAAATATTTAATTTATTTATTTGAAAGGCAGAGTTACAGAGAAAGAGAAGGAAAAGAGAGAGAGAGCTATAGTCCATCTGGTGGTTCACTCCCCAGATGGCTGCAACAGCTGGGGTTGGGCCAGGCTAAACCCAGGAGCCAGGAGCTTCTTGTGGGTCTCCCACGTGGGTGCAGGGGCCCAAGGACTTGGGCCATCCTTTGGCTGCTTTCCCAGGTGCATTAGCAGGGAGCTGGATTGGAAGTGGAGCAGCCGAGACTTAACCTATGCCCATATAGGATGTTGGCTTTACTCTGCGCCACAGCGCTGACCCTTATCAAATTTTTTTTTATTGCTTTGGCTTCTCTAGATGAATGTTTACATAATTATTTTAATCATTTTTAAAAATTAATATGAGCCAATAATTTTCCTGTGAGTATTGTAAAAATAATTCTTTTGTTACATTTACCAATAACATTTTTGCTATGGTTTTGAGGCTTATAGTATATGGTGTTCAAGCTCTCTCTGGTCAAGTTTTTACGTAATCCCTCCCTCCCTCATTTTTTTTAAAGATTTTATTTATTTATTTGAGAGGGAGAAAGGTGTTCTGTTTGTTTGGTTCACTCTCCAAATGGCCACAATGGCTGGAGCTGCACTGATCTGAAGCCAGGTGCCACTTCCTGGTCTCCCACATGCGTGCAGGGGCCCAAGGACTTGGGCCATCTTTCTACTGCTATTCCAGGCCATAACAGAGAGCTGGATCAGAAGTGGAGCAGCCGGGACCAGAACTGGTGTCCAGATGGGATGGCAGTGCCACTGCGCCATGGTGCCTGCACCTCCTATCTCATTTAAAAGTCTGTCTCTGCAGAGATAAGAGGCATTCAATAAGGTCAGGGAAGTGCCTTTTTTGTTTTTAAAGATTTATTTATTTATTTGAAAGTCAGAGTTACACAGAGAGAGGGGAGGCAGAGAGAGAGAGAGAGAGAGATCTTCTACCTGCTAGTTCACTCCCCAGTTGTCTGCAACAGCCAGAGCTGAGCCAGTCTGAAGCCAGGAGCCTCTTCCCGGTCTCCCACATGGCTGCAGGGGCCCAAGGACTTGGACCATCTTCAACTGCTTTCCTAGGCCACAGCAGAGAGCTGGATCAGAACTGGAGCAGCAGGACTCTAATTGGATGCCTAGTATTATATCCCACTCTTGAACTTTTTGAAGCTTCCTGTGTGAGTGACTTTTCCACAGTATGTTGCACTTTCTTTCATTTTCCAATCTGATCTCTCTTCTTACATGGCTTTATTTCACTTTTGGACATTTTAGAACTCTGGGAAGTCATTTCTCCTTCTCTGTGTTAAAATCGTCTACTCCTGTAGTTTTGCTCTTGAGTTCTATTTCATTGAGATTTTTATGATTTGTAGTTCAATCCTACCTGACTGGATAATTTTATGTCATGTTCTGTATTCCATGGGAAAGGATTTCTTGAATATTCATGCTAGATTCACTTTTTGTTCCCACTTCTTAAGCACTTGAGCCTTTTTAGTCATTTTCATTCAGTTGAGTTCTCTCTACACCATGTAAACCTAAGGCAACAGTTTGGAGAAAAATTCCAACAGTGTTGTACAATGAGACATTTGCCTAGTTCAGCATTGCGTCTATTAAATGTCTTATCTAATGAGATTTCATGATGGGGGGCTGGAAGGGGCTGGTTCTCCTCCACTTAGTACTTTCTTTGATCCCCCACTTGGAAGCAGGGACATAGTGTATTTCCTCTGAGCATACCTAAAAGGGTTATCTCTATCTGTCCTTAAAAGAAAAATTTCGGGGTCAGCGTTGTGGCATAGTGAGTAAAGCCTCCGCCTTTGATGCTGGCATCCCATATGGGCGCTGGTTCATGTCTGAACTGATCCACTTCTGATCCAGCTCCCAGCTAATGGCCTGGGAAAGCAATGTGGGATGGTCCAAGTGCTTGAGCCCCTGTTTCCTACATGGGAGACCTGGATGAAGCTCCTGGCCCCTGGGTTCGGCCTGGCCTAGACCAGCCTGCTGCAGTCATCTGGGGAGTAAAACTGTGGATGGAAGACCTCTCTCTCTTTGTCTCTCCCTTTCTCTCTGTAACTCTGACATTCAAATAAATAAATAAATCTTAAAAAAAAAGAAAAGAAAAATTTTAAGAGTGTCAGAAAAAGAGAGAAATTTTCTATTTCTCTGTTTTGCTCTGAATTTGGTCAGAAGCTACAACCAAGCATAACATCAGGCCAAAGCCTGTGGAGTTTTCCTACGTCTTCCCTGTTCATCCTCAGAGGCTCCTGGATTGTCTGGATAGTTCAATCAGCAGTATTCATGGAGAATTCCTTTTTATTCCTTTGGAATGGTGGACTGGCCTGGACCCTGGTTAGCCATCCCCAGCATTAATCTGGGGCTTCCTTTCAACATCTGACTGAGAGATAGAACTGCACTTAGCACTTGATTGTGAAAGGAGAGGAGAGAAAGGACTTAAAACGATTCAGAAATGATTTTTGTTTCAAGATAAAAGAGACCCAGTGAGCTTAAACAATGAGGGGCTTGACTGCGGTAAGGAGACAGGATCTAACAGGAGAAGAGAGTGACCAGGGACAGCATGGATACTGATTTGAACAGGAGAGAAGAAGCGACCAAGGGGCATGAACAAAGGAATAATTGTAGCTATTGCCCTGATAAACTAAGTTACTACCACATAGTGGGGTTCATACATGTTATACACTGATTTATATCCATTAACATAAATTACTCAAAATTCTTTTTTTTTAAAGATTTATTTATTTATTTGAAAGTCAGAGTTACACAGAGAGAGGAGAGGGAGAGAGAGAGAGAGAAAGAGAGAGAGGTCTTCCGTCTGATGGGTCACTCCCCAGATGGCTGCAACGGCTGGAGCTGTGCCCATCTGAAGCCAGGAGCCTCTTCTGGGTCTCCCTCGTGGGTGCAGGGGCCCAAGGACTTGGGTCATCTTCTACTGCTTTCCCAGGCCATAGCAGAGAGCTGGATCAGAAGTGGAGCAGCTGGGACTCGAACCAGCGCCCATATGGGATGCTGGCTCTTGAGGCCAGGGCGTTAACCTACTGTGCCATAGCACTAGCCCCTCAAAATTCTTAGGTTGAAGTCCTAACCCCCAGGGCATGCTACCAAATTTACATAAAGGGTCTTCAACTAGGTAATGAATATACAATGAGGTGCTTAGACTGGGCTATATTCCAATGTGGTTGATATCTTTATAAGAAAAGGAAATGGGTGGGTGGGTCGGGGAGTCCCAAATGTTGCTGCCTGTGATGCCAGCATCCCAAGCATCCCAGCCATCTGAGTCCTGGCTGCTCCCTGCTCATGCTACTGAGACTGAGAAAGCAGCAGAAGATGATCCAAGTACTTGGATTCTTGTTAGTAAATGTCAGAGGTGCTGTTCAAAGATGGAGGTGTGGGACACAGCACTCAAGGACTTGAGCACAGGAGGTGGGCGGAGGTAGCATGAGTAAAATTACTATGGTGACATTTTCTAGTGTGTACTTTGTTAAATTACTCATGTTTTCTCAAACTCTGTGTATGTCAATTATTAAATTGGTAGGTAAACTATAATCTGCAGGGTTATTGTGAGGACTAAATAAGTGAATATATGTAAATATATAACACATTTAATACAAATTTACCTTTTTTCTTTCGGAGTTCGGTACAGATGGGTGAAATAATTGTACTTCTGTTTATGACTCAATCATCATTTTTCCATGAAATAATTTATTGACAGTTTGGGGAGTAACAATTTATAATAGATTTCTCGCACACATACATACATGCATACATATATATGCACACATGTGTATGTGTGTGAGTATAATAAAAACATGGTTGTTTCAGCTAATGCAAATACGAGTTTTCAAGGATTTCAGCTACCACTGTAATAAAATGTTAGACAAAGCAGCTTCATTTCCTCCCAACACCCAGTCATCCCATGGTTTCAGAGCGGCCTTAACCTAGAGGATCGTGACAGTCTCTCATGGAGACCCTGGCAATCCTCTGCTTTCCACAGGGCACAGTGAGGGCTAGGTATGAGGATGTGTGGCATTGATTCTCTGCAAATGGAGCAAGGCCTTGAGTTGATGAACTCCTTCATCAATCAATTCTCCGTTGATTTAAAACCAATGCACTGGTGACAGATGTAAAAGATAGGTTCCAGACGGCAGTGGGGTTCCAGAGGGCTGTGACGGCTGTTGGAGAACCATTGCTAGTCACAAAGCAAGTGAAGTCAGATCAATTGCACAGTGCTCACCTGTGGGTGGAAGGCATAATCCTCATGTTGCATGAGTCAGGGATCTCCGGGTTCTGGAACTAGGGAGAGGGTTAAATAACCTGGACTTCATGAGATAATTCACACATAAAACAATGATTTTCATCTTCTTATCCATAAGGTATCTGCATTTATGTCTTACTTATTAGCAGCTATAGCCATAGCCTTCTTACTGCGCCCTCGGATAGGAGAATTGTGTGCCAGCCTGTGTTTTTCTGTTGTTCAGGTGATGTCACACCCTGGTGAAGAGCTGGTGTTTTGTGACAGGTGGGTCTGGACACTATGCACAAGGCTGGGGTCTCATGGTTTCTTTCTCTGCCCTCAGCTTTGCAAGCTCAGCTAAGCTTGGACTGCATGACACCCAGAGGAAGATCACAGGAAAGCGAGTTACTGCCAATGCACCCACTGGTAAGCACGGAATGCCTTTTTCCATTGATGGAGTAAGAACAGCTCCTTTCTGCAAAGATGTAAGGACAAACAGGGGGGTGTTTGGGGATATGAGCTCCAGCAAAGTGTTCCCAGGACTCTGGGCTGGTTCTCCTGCTCAGGAACGCATCAGTGAAGAATAGCCTTCTTAATATCACACTGGTTTATTCCAGCCCCAGAAAGGTTGTGAATTACAGAAGAGATGCAGGATTTTCTCTTTCTCATCTGGATTATAATTCACCCACTAACTATGGTTCTGGCTGTAATGGGCTTAACCTCGTGGTGAATGTGGGTGATAGAGATGAGCGAGGACTAGACCCTGACAATCCAGCATGGGTCAGATGTTCTCGCAGGTGAGTTCACCCAATCCAGTGGGGCTGCACACTCAGGAGGAGGAATGCGGCAGGCAGAGTAGAATTTAAGGCTCCGAGAAAGTGTCTAATGAGCTGGGTGCACAAAGACCGATAAAGAAGCTTCTTCCTTCCCTTGAGCCAAGCGATTAGATCGCGATACGAGGGGAGATGGTGGTTCCCAGAGCAAACTGAGACTGGGAGGCCTCCTGTCCCCGGAATGACCACTGTAGGACTGCCCCTCAGCAAGCGGGCTCCCAGGTCTCTGGCTTGTGTTGCTGACCTCTCTGCATTTTAGCCTCACCACAAACACCTGAGTCATGTCACGCTGAGAGACGGCGTGTAGTGAACCGGGGTTTCCATGAAGCTCATTTGGGTCTGAAGAATGCTACAGATTACCTCAAAATTTGCTGCCTGTTAAAAAAGAACAATAGATTAATGGCAGGTATTTAGCACATATTTGTTAGGAAGCATTTCATTATATTATTTCAGCGGATCCTTCAACACTTATAATGGTTCATTGTTTTCTTTTTAGTATTTCTTTTATTTATTTGAAAGGCCGAGTTACAGAGAGAGGGGGAGAGATAGAAAGAGAAGTTTTCCATCCACTGGTTCACTCCCCAAATGGCCTCAATAGCCAGGGCTGGTGCCAGCCTCCTCCGGGTGCCAGGTGCCAAGAGCCTCCTCCGGGTCTCCCATGTGAGTGGCAGGGGCCCAAGCATCTAGGCCATCCTCTGCTGCCTTCCTAGGCATATTAGCAGGAAGCTGGATTGGAAATGGAACAGCCAAGACTCAAACTAGCATCACTATGGGATACTGGTGCTACAGGCAGTGGCTTATTCCACTATACCACAGTGCCAGCCCTTGCAACAGTTCATAAGCCAGCTTATAGATGAGGCATGTAGTACTTGTCTAAGAGAATATTTGAATTATAGTCACAGTTTAAAAGCGGTAAATCATGCTAATAGTAAGTCTTATGATGTGTCTGTACTTCAGTTACATGAAATATTGTGGAAGAGAATTCTTGTTATGAATTTTCACATGAAAATTTTATAATTACCTGGGAGGACAAAACTATGAGGTTGCAAAAAAGTTTCCAGGTAGTACACTTCATCTGGTATTGCTTTATAATAGTTATGTGGATTCAGTGTATGTATGTCTATGGGAAACGGATACCAAGTCAACCCAGAGTGGCCTGGCTGGAGGTCAAGCACAGTCTCATCTTTCTGTACATCCAGTTCCCTCCCCTGCCTGTGTCATCTCAGCCTTCCTTCCTGCACATGAACAAGGGCTTCTCTGTCTAAACTGGGATGTCCATGATACTGTTTTATTTTTCCCCCAAAGAAACCTTTTATGTAATGGGTACAAATTTCCCAAGTACAACTTTAGGAATATAGTGATTCTTCCCACCATACCAGCCCTCCCACCCTCAATGCCACCCCTTCTCCTCCTCCTCCTTTCTCTCCCATTCCCAGTCCTATTCTCCATTAAGATTCATTTTCAATTAACTTTATACACAGAAGACCAATTCTATACTGGGTAAAGATTTCAACAATTTGCACACACTAACTGTTTGAGAACAAGTTTTACAGTTGATTCTCATAATACAACTCAGTGAGGACAGAGGTTCCTGCATGGGAAGTAAGTGTACAGTGACTCCTGTTGTTAATTTAACAATTAGCACTCTCATGTATGCCAGTACATACTAGTCTAAGAATTTTCTCTGGTGATGGATGGTGTTTTAGGAATCAGTGACCTTTGAAGATATAGTTATAGACTTCACAAAGGAAGAGTGGGCCCTGCTGGATACATCCCAAAGAAAACTGTACAGAGATGTGACACTGGAAAATATCAGTCATCTGGTCTCCCTGGGTGAGTCTATCTGTATTTATCTGTTATGTATGTATTCATTCATTCACTCAGTATCTACAGCAGCCTCTCTATACCCGACTGCAGTCTCTGTGCTCTCATTTCCATAACTCTTATAAATCTTGAAAAGGTTCCTTTCACATTTACTCACGTCTAGTTTATCATTTTCCTAGAATGTAGCATTGACACAATTTCATGTCATTCTTCCTAATCAGTCTCCAGCGCTGAGTAGATTTGGGAGATCCGTTAATATTTTTGAACACATGAATAAATTGATTAAGTATTTTATAAATATTCTTCCCTAGTAACTCTCTGAGAGTTGAGACTAAAACAGTGAAAATGCTGGGACTTCTTTAATTCTTTTTGTGTGTGTGATTTCAAAGATCTTAAAAGGACATACAAGAGTTCTGCATATTTGTGGGTTATAGAGTGATAATTAGATGGGTACACAATGTGCCATGATCAAATCAGAGTAATTAACGTTCCCATCTCCTTAATCATTTATGATTTGTGTTGGGAAACTTTACACTCCTCTCTCCTAGTTCTTTGTAATAAACATGTTGTAAACGATAGACACATGCTGTTCTGTAGACCAGACCTTACGCCTCCTGTCTAGCTGTTATTTGGTACTTGTTACACAGCTGTCCCCTACTGTTCCTCTCCTCTACCATTCGTAGCCTCTAGAGACCACTATTTTACTCCCCACGTCTCTGAAGCAAATTTCGTAGCTTCTACATGAGTTAGAACTACATGGTGGCCATCTTTCAGTGCCAGGTTATTTAACTTCACATAATATCCTCCAATTCGTCCATACTTCATCCAATGACAGCATCTCACCCTGTCTTACAAGGCTGACTGATACTCTCTCATGTATTTATATATACCACATATATATTTATATATATACCACATCCTCTTTATCCATTTTTTTTATTTGACAGGTAGCGTTATAGACAGTGAGAGAGAGAGAGCGAGAGCGAGAGCGAGAGCAAGAGAGAGAGAGAGAGAGAAAGGTCTTCCTTCCATTGGTTCACTCCCCAAATGGCCACTACGGCTGGTGCTGCGGCGATCCAAAGCCAGGAGCCAGGTGCTTCCTCCTGGTCTCGCATGTGGGTGCAGGGACCCAAGGACTTGGGCCATCCTCCACTGCCCTCCTGGGCCACTGTAGAGAGCTGGACCAGAAGAGGAGCAACCGGGACTAGAACCCGGCACCCATATGGGATGCTGGTGCCGCAGGCGGAGGATTAACCAAGTGAGCCATCCCATATCCATTCTTTTTTTGATGAACACGTCAGCTGAGTCTATGGCTTGGCTATTGTGAACAGTGATTCAAGAAACATGTGAATGCAGGTATCTTTTTGATATAATCCAGACATGGGATAGCTGGATCATACAGTAGTTCCACCTTTAGTTTTTGAGGCACACGCGTACCATTTTCCATGTGGCTATACTAACTTACATTCCCACCAACAGTGTATTAGGACTCTTTTCTTGTCCTTGGCAGTATTTTTTTTTTCTCTTTGATATTCTCATTAGAGTGAGATGATATCTCACTGTGGTTTTGATTTCCATTTCCCTGATGATTAATGATTAATGATGTCATTTTCTCATATACTTATTGGTTATTTGTGTATCTTTTTTAGGGAGGAAATGTCTTCTTAGATCATTTATCCATGTTTTAATTGAATTATTTGTTTTTTACTTTCTGCTGCTGAGTTTTTAGTGTTCTTTATAAATTCTGGATATTAATCATTTTTCAGATGATCAATTTGCAAATAATTCTCTCATCCCTCAGTTTATCTCTTTGTTCTTTTGATTATTTCCTTTGTTGTCCAGAAAGCTCTTAGTTTGATTTAATGGCTATTTTTGCTTTTGTTGCCTGTGCTTTTGAGGTCTTGAATTGTTTCCTCTAGGCTTTCTTCTAGTAGTTTCACAGTTTCAAGTATTACGTTTAGGACTTTGATCCATTTTGAGTTAATTTTTTTAAAGATTTATTTATTTATTTGAAAGGCAGAGTAACAGAGAGGCAGAGGCAGAGAGAGAAAGAGATCTCCCATCTGCTGGTTCACTCTCCAGATGGCCACAATGGCTGGAGCTATGCTGATCTGAAGCCAGGAGCCAAGAGCTTCTTCTAGGTCTTTCATGCAGGTGCAGAGACCCAAGCACTTGGGTCATTTTCTGCCACTTTCCCAGGCCATAGCAGAGAGCTGGATTGGAAGAGGAGCAGCCGGGACTAGAACCAGCAGCCATATGGGATGCCCGCCCTAGGCGGTGACTTTACCCACTATGCCACAGTGCCGGGCCCTTGAGTTAATTTTGTATCTAATGAGATTTAAGGGTCAAGATTCATGCTTCTCTGAACAGATATCCAATTTCCCAGCACCACTTATTGAGGAGACTGTGTTTTCTCTAATGTATTTGGTGACTTTTTGAAGATCAGTGGCTATTGATACATACTCTGTTACTTAGTTCTCTGTGTTTGTGGTCCATGTACTGACTTTTTATCAGTTCTGTGCTGCTTCAGTTACTATAGCTTTGTAGTCTGTTTTGAGGTCAGGTGTTGTGATGCCTTGAGCTATGTTCTTTTTGCTCCAGATTGCTTTGGCTATTCAGTGTCCTTTGTGACTTAACATCAATTTTAGCACTTGTTTTTCCTATTTCTGCGAAGAATTCCAACACTGAATCTATAAATTCTTTGAGTAGTATGGACATTTTAACAATATTAATTCTTCTAATCAATGAACATGGGATAGCCTTGTATTTTTTGTGTGCCCCTTTGAATACATTTCATTAATGCTTATAATTTTTGTTATAGAAATCTTTACTTCCTTGGTTAAATTTATTCCATGGTATCATTTTGGTGGCCATTATGAAAGTGATCGCTTTCTTGATTTCTTTTTCAGGAATTTAATTATTGGTGTGTAAAATTGGTACTGATTTTTTCATGTTGATTTTGTATCCTGTAATTCTTATTTGTTCTAAAAGTTTTTGGGTGCATTGTTTAGTTTTTTTTTTTTAACATATAAAATCATGTCATCTACCAACAAGGGTAATTTGACTTTGACTTTCTCTTTTCCTATATGGGTATCCTTTACTTCTTTCTCTTGCCTAGTTGCTTTTGCTAAGACTTTCAGCACTATGTTGAATAAGAGTGATGAAAGTGGGCACTCTTTTCTTGTTCCAAATTTTGGAGAATGGGCTTTTGTCCATGCAGAATGTTGCTGGCTGTGGTTTTGTCCTGTGTAGCCTTTATAAAACCGAGATGCATTCCTTCTATACCTAATGTGTTGAGAGTTTTTTTTTTTTAACTATGAAAAGATGTTGAATTTTATCAAATGCCTTCCTGCATCTGTTGAGATGATTATATGGTCTAAGCCCTGCATTCTTTTGAGGTGATGTTTATGTTTCTTGTTTGCATATGTTGACATATCACTGTCCTTGCATCCTTGGGATAAATTGCACTTGATCATGGTATATGATCTTGCCGTGAAGCTGATTCAGTTTGCTAATATTTCGTTGAGGATTTTTGCCTATGTTCATCAGGGATATTGGTTTGTGGTTTTGTTGTTGTCGCTGTGTCCTTGTTTGGTTTTGGCATTAGGATACTTCTGGCCACACAGAAAGAGTTTCATAGAGTTTCTTCTCTTTCAACTCTTTGAAATGCTTTGAGAATAACTGGTGTTAGTTCTTCCTTAAGAGTTTGATAACATTCAGCAGTGAAGCCATCCAAATCTGGACTTTTCTTTGTTGGTAGACTTTTTATTACTGATTGCTTCTTGTTATTTATCATTGGTCTGTGCAGGTTTTCTCTGTTTTCATGGTACAATATTAGAGGTAATATGTGTTCAGAAATGTATTTTTCTTCTAGTATTTCCACTTTGTTGTCTTGTAGTTCATAATATTCTCTAGAGATCCTTTGTACTTCTGAGGTATTCATTCTTTTTAATTATAAAAGTTTTTTGTTGTTTGCTATTTGAAAGGCAGAGTGTCGAGAGAGAAAAAGAGAGAGAGAGAGAGACAGAGAGAGGGAGAGAGAAACTAGAGAGACAGGGCCAGGCTGAATTCAGGAGCCAGATGTCAGGAACATCAGTCTGGTCTCCTACATGGGTGGCAGGGGGCAAATGCACTGCTGTAACAGGAAGCTGGATTGGAAGCAGAGCAGCTGGGACTTGAGTGGCACTCTGATATGGGATGCCAGCGTTGTATGCGGTGCTGAATTCACTGCGCCACAATGCTGGTCTCCAGAGATGAACCCAACGTCTCATTTATCATCTCTGATTTTATTTGCTTGTATCTTCTCTTTCTTAGAAATTCTAGCCAAAATATGTCAATATTATATTTTCAATAAACTAATTTTTTGTTTTGTTGATGCTTTAAACTTGTTTTTAAGTCTTCATTTCATTTATTTCTGCCTTGATCTTTGTTTATTTTTTTTTAATTTGGGATTTATTGGTTCTCATTCTAGTTCTTTGAGATACAATAATAGAATGTTTGAGATCTTTTTCTTTTGTGAAGTATGTGTTGATTGCTATAAGATTTCCACCCAGTGTTGCTTTTGCTATATCTCATAGGTTTTGGTATGTTGTATTTTCATTTGCTTCGAGAAAAAATTTTAGTTCCTTTTAAGTTTTTTAATTGACCCATTAATCATTCAGGAACATGTGTTGCCTGGGCCGACCTTAGTGTTCTTACTTTTCCTAACTAGTGATTATTTAGCATAAAACTGAAACTCTGCATACATTTTCCTCCATGAATAGGGTATCAGATCTACAAATTAGATGTGATTTCCTACCTGGAGCAAGAAGAAGACCTGTGGAGTCAAGGCAGAAGAGTTTTCCAAGACCAGAGTTCAGGTAAACAGAAGGGATTTGTGGTGCCTGGTCAGCAAGCGACTATGTTCATGGAAATATCAACTGAACAATTTGCTTACTGAATGATATTTTCTAAAACACAACAGAAGGGTGTAGACATTTGGCACTACAGTTAAGCTGTCACTCAGGATGACTGCATTCTATATGGGAGTGCTTGGGTTTAAGTCCCAGCTCCACTCTGCCATTCTAACTTTCTGCTAACGTGCACCTAGTGGGGAAGCAGATGACAACTGAAGTACTTGGGTCTATGGTCTTTGCCACCCACGTCAGAGATTCCAATTGAATTCTTGGCTCCTGGATTCAACCTGGCCCTGCCCTGGCTATTGTGAGCATTGGGAGAGTGAATCAGAGGATGAGCTCGCTCTCTCTCTCTCTCTCTGCATTCAAAGTACATAAAACAAAATGAAATATAACAGAGGACGTCGGGACAAATTCCCTCAGCTGTTGTCATTATTTCTTCTATATGTAACAATTCCCATGTTCTGACAGTCTCTTTGGCTTTAGGGAAAAATGGGTATTAGTCTGTTTATTGGAGTTATACGTTCACATAGGACTCTCATCTGGATCTTCCCCCTTGAACGTTTCCTCTCTTTACCTATCCACATCTCATCTCCATTATACTTTATTCAGATTTCAAACCTGAAATGTTTTCCTTATTGTCAATGCCCTAAGGTGTGTTTCTAGTACCTGCTGCCTGCCTTCATTAAACACACTTGCTCCATCCAAGTGCCAGTTTTTGAAACATACACATCAGCTTTGATTTTTTTTAACATTTTCATTCCCCTAATGTTTTTCTAACAATTTATTTTCTTCAATTATTTTAGGCAGTGCCCTTAACAAACAAGAAATTATACACATGCAAAGAGACACATCCACAACGATGCCAATGGTAAGTTTCATGGGTATGAATCCAAATCAAAAGTTTGGCAGTGAGATGAGTTACTAATTGAGTAAAATTGTCTGACTGTATGTAAATTGAGATTAAGCAGTTTCTGGGTCAAAATATTTGTAGAGTTTGATTTTTTTTTTGACAGGCAGAGTGGACAGTGAGAGAGAGAGACAGAGAGAAAGGTCTTCCTTTGCCGTTGGTTCACCCTCCAATGGCCGCGCCATTGAGTGAGCCAGCGCGCTGCGGACAGCTCACCGTGCCTATCCAAAGGCAGGAGCCAGGTGCTTCTCCTGGTCTCCTATGGGGTGCAGGGCACAAGTACTTGGGCCATCCTCCACTGCACTCCCGGGCCATAGCAGAGAGCTGGCCTGGAAGGGGGGCAACCGGGACAGAATCCGGCACCCCGACCGGGACTAGAACCCAGTGTGCTGGCACTGCAAGGTGGAGGATTAGCCTATTGAGCCACGGCGCCGGCCAGATTTTGAATTTAGTGAGGAATGAAAATGAGTTAAAAGCTGCAACCTGAGCTCTTCATATTGTACTACTGCATAAATATTGTTCACATTTCTAGTCTTTGAAACATATTGGAGCCTTCAATGTTAATCTGATAGCTCTGTAATTGGGGTGCCACAAAGGAGAAAATATTCAAGCTTTCAAAAGAGTAATATACACTCTGTAAGCATATAACATTAGAGAGATTTTGACTGCAGACTACACTGAATGATTGATTGGTCTAGGATTCATGTGTATGGAAATCAGTGAAGGGATGAAGGTGTGCACACCACTAACAGCCTGTTTCTTCTTTCCCAAAGGTGAAGGCTCACATTCAAGAGGATCCCTTTGAAAGAAACGGTTTGGGAGAAGATTTCACATGCAGCTCTATGTTTACTCAACATTTATCTTACACAGGAAACAAACCCCTTGTGAGCAAACAGTGTGGAAAATCAACCAGCAGCCGCTCACACTTTAAACAACATAAGAAAATTCTGAGCAGAGGTCAGTCCTATGAATGCCAGCTGTGTGGGAAATCCCTTAGCAGCTGCTTTAGCCTTCGACGGCACGAGATGGCACACACTGGGCTGAAACCGTACACGTGCCACCTGTGTGGCTCGGCCTTCATCCAAAGCTCTGACCTCAACAAGCACAATCTAACTCACACCGGAGACAAGCCCTATGAATGTCATGTATGTGGCAAGGCCTTCAGTCAGTCTTCTAACCTTAGACAGCATGAGAGAATTCACACTGGCGAGAGACCGTACGAATGCCATGTGTGTGGGATGGCTTTCGTCCAAACTTCTGACCTCAGGAAACACCACCTAAGTCACACTGGAGAGAAGCTGTACGGATGTCATGTGTGTGGGAAGGCCTTCAGCCAGTCTTCTTCCCTTAGACAGCACGAGAGGATACACACTGGCGAGCGACCCTATGAATGCCACGTGTGTGGGAAAGCTTTCAGCAAAGCCTTTTCTCTTAGAAGACACGCGCGAACTCACTGGGGAGAAACCACGGGAGAGTCACCTGTGCGGGGAATCCCACAGCATCCTACCCTTAGGAGACATAGGAGAAGCCACCCTGGAGAGAAAATCGGGCATGCCTTCAGGAATACGATCCATCTCACCTGAGTGACATGTACTGCAAATGTGATTTTTTCTTTTGTTTATTTCAAATTTGGAAGATACGTGTCTGTGTCTTGTTAAAGTTTTATATTTACCAACACTCTTTCAATGCCTCTTGCTCTTATTTACTGTATGCAGAGGGACAGATCTAATAAATATGCAGGTTCATGCAAAATTATGTTGTGTTATTGGAGACATGTTCTACAATTTCAAAATGCCACACCACAGTGGGTTGTGGCTTACCATTTAGCATCTCTGTGCATGGATATACTTTTATTTTCAGATTAGCTGTGAAGGCTACAGTGGCATTCAGAATGGAGGAGTTTGCCCTCACACAGGAGTGGCGACAGAAGTTGAGGCAGAAAGAGAAATCTTATGAATGGGGCGAAGCCCTCTTTCAACAATATTAACTACAGAACAGAAGGAAACTTGGAAATACTGTGATCTTAAAACAAAAAATGCGGAATTTCGTGAATGACAAAGGCGTCAGCCTGAGCAACAGCTGAAATCCAGTGAAGCAAGTGTTTGTGAGCAGCACCTTCCGCTTCAGCAGACTTCCAAGGAAGAAACTCCACCCTTGTCACAAGCCCCACCCACCGCTGAGGGAGGTTGACAGGTACCAAGGGAGTGGCTGTCACCACCATTCCACTTGTGGCTGGAAGCATGAGGAAAAGCACAGAGGGCACCCCCATGGACTAGGGAGGACATATGAGAGTGCTAAATCACGTTGGGGGGGGTCTATATTCAGGAAACCCCCCACCTTTCTCTTTACCGCCAACAGAGTAGCTCATTGTTTGCATCAAGGAAAGAATGAGAGAAGGTACAAGTCTGTGGTCTACGCATGTAAAGACAGTGACTGTTCAGAGACCCTCCCCAGTCTTATCCTGTACTACCCCGATCTTCACAATTGTTTCTGCTAATTGTGTCCATCCCGCTCCAGGCTTAAGGTAACAGAGGTGCAGAGAGGTAGTGGCAGGTCTCTGCAGGGTGGGGCCGCTTGTGAGAGGCTGAGAGGGTGTGGGTGCCTGCCTGCAAGCACTGCTTATCCCCCTCGCTAATGACCTCCCCGATAATGAGGTCTTTTAGTTTCTGGGGGTGCTGATGGGGAAAGCCAAGTTCTCTCAGATATGTGCACACTTCTGGGTCCCCTAACCTGGGAAGTGTTTTCCAGCAGGGAAAATGTTACAGCTAGGAGCTCCTCAGCACAAACTCACATGGGGAATGGTTTGCTTTTTCAAAAGGCACAAACCAGTAAAAGTTGTACAGAATGCAAACCCGAGTGTGGCCAGGGAAGAGTGTTCTAGAAAAAGGCGAAAAGTCTCTGGAGCACCTAATGGAATATGTCCCCCAGCTGTACCCTGCCTGGCAGTGACGGAGGAGAAAGGCCAGATGGCTGCTGGCTGCGTGCATAACAAAGCTGCCAGCCCCTTCGCTGCAGATCTCACATTCTTCAAACACTGGATCGCAGTGGCCGAGGATCCCTGAGTGTGGGGCGGTGGCCTGCGCCCTCACCCTTCAGGCAGATCCCACAGTGCGCCGGCTGCAGCCACAGGTGTGTCCAGGATGCACTAACCAGCAGGGGTCAGGAGAGGGTTCAAATGAGCTGGAACGGAACACTAAAAAGAGACCTTGTCAGACACATGGGTGAATGGCTTATTCTGTAAGCACAGCTTGCAGACGAAAAACAGCTCTGCCAGAAAAGCATATTCAATCTGATATGATTTACAAGCAGTATTGAGGTGGAGAAAAATGTGAAATCTATGCACCTTAACAAAGTTTTAGAGCTACTTTGAACATTATAGAAAAACACATTTATCAATAAAGGAATGTACTTCATCATAAACATGCAAATAATAAATATTTGTGAGCATAAGAGTACATACATGTTTGCTATCTAGCACATTTTGGAACAGACTCATCCTAAGACTCACTTTATGCCAGATGGAATCTTACCCAATACAACAACTACAACCTCTAAGTGGAAAAAGTGGGGATCAGGAGACCGTGGTTCTCTTCGTCAGGCGCACGCCGGGAGGACGAAGATGGGTCTTGCTCAGGGCTTACTTTCGTGGTCATGGCCACTTGTTCCAGGAGATGCTGTGGCCATTTCTGTGGGTTCCCTGTGCCACGGCATCATTGGTGTCATCACAGTGAGAAGTGGCGGGTTCTGGTTTATAGTCAAACTACAACAGCTCTGTCTTCAATTCCCTATCTACTGAGTTTTTTTTTTTTAAAGATTTTACTTATTTTTATTTGAGAGTTAGAGTTACAGACAGAGAGAGGGAGAGACAGAGAGAAAGGTCTCCCATCTGTTGGCGCACTCCCCAAATGGCTGCAAAGACCAGTGCTGGGCTGATCCAAAATCAGGAGTCGGGAGCCTCTTCTGCATCTCCCACGTGGGTGCAGGGGCCCAAGGACTTGGGCCATCCTCCACTGCTTTCCCAGGCCATAGCAGAGAGCTGGACTGGAAGTGGGGCAGCCAGGACTAGAACAGGTGCCCATATGGGATGCCAGCACTGTGGGCATTGGTTTAGCCCACTATGCCCTTCTACTGAGATTTTTAAAAGCACCCTGGAAATCTGTTAACTCTTATTTAGAAACTTTCATTGGAATCCAAATGCCTGCTAGATTTTCACAAATGGACTGCACCCCCTGCAGGAAGCTGAGGAGGCCAGCACCTCCCACAACCATGGTGGTCCCCTCAGTCTCCATTACCACAAGGGTAGCCCTTCTCACAAGGTCTGGGGCACGTCTGGGGCATGGATCACCTGGCATTTGTTTAAATGCAGAGCTTGTGCAACAGGTGCCCTTTCTGATTTGCCTTCTTTGGCAACAATCCTGCTGGTTAAAGTTTGTTCCAATTATTTATTGATTTCTAGATCATTAACTCATATTGTTTAATATTCCATTTTGCGACTTTTCACCCCTTATTTCCTTGTTAACAGGCATATGTAGATGACCATAGGGTTTTTTCTTGTATGTTTTTTGTTTTTGTGTTTTTCTCGAACAGGCAAGTGGACAGTGGACAGTGAGAGAGAGAGACAGAGAGAAAGGTCTTCCTTTTGCCATTGGTTCACCCTCCAATGGCCGCTGCAGCCTGCGCACTGCGCTGATCCGAAGGCAGGAGCCAGGTGCTTCTTCTGGTCTCCCATGGGGTACTGCACTTCCTAGCCACAACAGGGAGCTGGCCTGGAAGAGGAGCAACTGGGACAGACTCCGGCACTCCGACCGGGACTAGAACCCGGTGTGCAGACGCCGCTAGGCGGAGGATTAGCCTAGTGAGCCGCGGCGCCGGCCGACCATAGGTTTTAACAATGGTGCTTCTGAGACTATTCCTGTGCATGTCTTGTGCACGGAGCAATTTCTGCTGGAAGTGCCCCGGGCGTGGGAATGCTGGGTCACAGGACACCCATAAGTTCCACTTTGTACACCCCGAAACTAGGCGCGGAGGCTGTTCCAAAGGACAAACCCGCTCATGGGAGCTGCAACATGTAAGTCAAACTCTGCGCTACAGAATTTGTTTTCTGTCAAGTGAACAGATTCCAGACTGTTGTGTGGAGATTCCATAGTCAGAGCTGCCCCATCTCATAAGGCAACACGGACTTCTGCAGAGTCCCTTTTGTTCCTTGCTATTGCCCTCCACAGCCGCGCTGGTTTGCCGGGATGCCTTTAGGGAAGACCCAAGTCTGGGAGGGTGGGCAGCAAACGTCCCATAGTTCTGGAAGCTGCAGCCCGAGCCCAGCGTCTCCGTGCAAGATGAGCCAAGCAGAGAAGGGTTCTTTTAAATACTTTAGTATACATTGGACTCCACCAAAACGTAGTGCCAGTAGAATTTCAAAAAAATTCAAAGAGTGAGTAAGGAAGAATATCTAGGCCAGCTTCCTTTAAAGCAAGAATGGATGACGTTGTTATCAATTTTTGGGGGGGGGATAAAAATGAGTGATGCTGCCGTTCTGGGGGAGAGGGCGGGATTTGGGCAGGGGTGGGGCACAGACCTCGGGTTCCTCTGCAGAGCTGCGTCCCGGGGCTGCTCGGGGAGCGCTCGTCCGAGTTCCGGGCGAGTTTGAGGATTTGACTCCTGGGGGTGGAGAGGCGGCAGGAAGGGCGGCCCCGAGCCCCTCGCCTGCATCCCAGCCAACAGCCTGGGGGCGGCGGGGTCCTCTGGCGGCGACCCGCCCACCGCAAGCCCCGGACCCTCGGCGTTTACAGGCGCGTTTACAAGCGCTAGGTCTTCTCCGTTTTCCTCCAGAAATTCTCCTCACGCAGTTCCCAGGTTCCCTGATTCCTGGCATTGAAACCCCGCACTTTGTATGATGTCTTTCTATCCAAAAATCAAAGCCCAACTGAGGAACCCTGCGGCGGAGCCCCATCCTTGGCGGCCAGGGGCGTAACCGGGACCGTGGTCCTCAGCGGTTCCGACGCCCCAAGTCTTCCCAAAGCCAGGGCGTGCACCCCGGCCCCCTCCCAGGAAAACCCAGCTCCGGTTCTCCGGTTCTCCAGAGCCCGGGTCAGAGTGCACGCCGCGAGGGCCGGACTGGGCGTCTTCGTGCGCCCTCTGCTGGCCGCGGGCTGCAACGCAGAATGCTCGGGGCTTAGTCTTTCAGGGACTCCCACAGTGGGAGCCTCAAAACTTAATGAGGGGAGGCTAGATGGCTCCACTGACTGCTAACGGGCTAGGGTTGGAGACGTTGGCGAGGGCTGTTGAGCTCTTCTGTCTTAAAATGCACACAGTGTTCTACATAGAAATTCATCTATCACTATTATTTATCTAGCAGTTTATCATCTAAGCGTTCATCCATCCTAGTTAACGGTGCATACACAAAATAGCACAAACACAGGTGTGTGCACTGTCAGTGGAGAGAGCCAAGAAATAAGTATGCCACGGTAACAGTGTGGAAATTTAGTTCCACATCTGTGTTTTTGTCACACTTCCCAGTGAATGGAAATAATAATACTCTTTGGAGAAATGATTGTGTGTGAGGCAGGAAACACGCAGGGTGGTTGTGGATTGTTTTTTATTTCTAAACAATGAAAAAAAACCTAATCTATTCACTGTGTCCCTAAAGAATATTAGCTGTATATTTTCAGATGTCATTATGAAATTTAATTGAATTGTTACAATTTGAAGCTAAAAGCAATTTGCTTTTGTTTTATTAGGAAAAAAACTCAAGCAAGGTCTACAATCATGGTCAATTAAAAATGATTTACAAGAACATGAGGCAATAACATAAAAATACAGGTACAAACTATATATCTGAAATACTTCTGTTTGGCAATTTTATAACAAATCAAAACTTAAAAAGAACAAAGGAGACCACAGATTACTTCATAGATACAGAATAAAGCAATTGACAAAGTGCTTAAGCAAAAGAAAAGTAAGAAAACACACTGCTTTTCTTTTCAAAAATAAAATCACATTTGCTACAGATGGCATGGATAATATACCTTTATTAAACAACCATTCCAGAATGTCTTATATTAGCAGTGCTTTTTATTTGCACTTCATTTACTTTTATATGACTCATTTCAGATCTATAGCTCTTTACCCTATTGTTCATTAATAAAGTCTCCCATAATTTTATTTATTTTTTAAAACAAATGAGAAATGATTTAAGTATCATGGAACCTTTCCCATTTTGGAACTGAAGGCTTATTTCTATGTTTTTGTCTACTCTTTCTTTTAAAACATTTAGTGTAAAAACTGCTGGTTTTTGTATCATTGTAGTAAAGTGAAAACTCCTTAATCAGGAGTATTTTCTGCAGTTTAACTGCATATAACCACAAACCTTACAATATGTCCTTCCAACAGCAAGGAAATAATGGATTTCACAGTCACTGTCACAAATGAGTGCCATAATTCTATTATGGGTGTAGGTCCTTCCTCAAAGACTTTCTGGAAGGATGTTCAATGTGTTTTGTTCTTATAGATATTAACAGTAGTACGTAGTCCCTTAAGTCTGCAAAAGACATTCATTGTTAAAGAATTTGCTTTATTAACAATTCGTCTGGCAGCACTAGTGATTTACAATACCCTTCAATATTACTTGTACCATAATATATACATTTAACTTTCATGCCTCTAGAAAAACACCTACAGTACATTTCATAATATAAAAATATATTACAAATCTGCTGAATTATTTACAAGCAATGTTCTATTATCTCTATGTAACATTTGTGTGATACAACACTAACAAGTTACACATACTTTCATATCTGTAAATAAAAAACAAAAATCCATATGGCTTTTTGCTTAGCAAGAAGAAAATGATTTTATTTCCGTTTTCAAAACCAACTTTGGTGCATAAAAGATTAAGTTTCAAGATACTTTAAAAATATAATTTTTTATATTGATAAAAACAACTCAAAAACCAAACTCCTCAGAAAAGAAATTAGTCATATAGTTTAAATAAAACTACAAAGATTATTCAAATAAGTTGAAATAGAGATTTTTCAAAAACCATTAACAGATGAATTATATAGGTAAATATTAACCCACTATACTGTATGAGAAAACCCTAGTCCTGGAAAGGGAGCCACCATACATACTGCAACACTCTCTAACAGGAATTTTCAGCCCTAATCCCATAGATGAATTTTTAGTTGATTGCAAATGTCCTTCACTGTTTGCTTAAATACAAATTGAACACTTTTCTTATCAGAGTTCTGCAAAAGAACACAAATGGCAACCAATCACATCTATTTATCATAACTGAAAAGTTAATTCTCTTGATAATTTTTCATTGCCTAAATAGTTCCTAATTTAGTTCCAAACCAATAGACACTGTTAAGATAAATATCCTTACAGTGCTTTTCAGATTGGTAAGGGCACA